TCTTGTTCCTAGTAGCAAGGCCAGGAGCTACTAGTAGCATCCAGCCTTCTAGTAAACACCTGCAGCAGGCATACTTACCAGGCACGAACCTTGGAAACAGGTGTTGACACACACACACACACACTATGCCGCAATCGGCGCTCTGCACCCCTTGCGTTACACGACTTTGTGCAACAGCTTTGTACACACAAGGCCGATGTCGGCGCTCCGGAAAATTACTGAGCACCTGAAAAGCCTTAGAAAGACAGACAAAGAAAACAAAACAAAAGCACACGAAGAGGGCAAGAAAGAAAGATAGGTATAGTGACGAGGCCCACTTAGTTAAATGAAAATAGTTATATAGCGAGCGGGACTTTTGTCTTAAACCGCCCGAGTAGCTAGGAGTAGGACAGGAGAAACAGAAGGAAAGGCGCCAACACACAAGTGTGTTGAATTTCCTTCTGTTACCTTAAATAGCAGGTGGGACAGCAACAGAGGCCAGGGGCAGGGAGGTAGGGGGGAGGGTGGGTTAGGGTGGCCCGAAGGCATTGCCATCACTGGCATTCAAGCATTCAAGTAAAGCCGATTTGGGCCGGCGCACCCTTGTCTGAAAAGCACCTGGAGCCTAAAGAAAGGCCTCAAGAAACGAAAAGCAACAGAAAGAGAGAAAGAACCCAAGAGCATGACAAGCGCATGCACCTGAAAAGCTACCTAGGTTGGTGAGCATGCGACATGTACCTACATGCAAATCCGAACTGGAGTTGATCTCAGTAAGCCCTGAGGCGTTTGATCAGTGGTATCACTCAGAGCAGGCAATCCAAAAGTGATCGAAAGAAGTCCAAGAGTGGAATCGGAAGATCAGGGTGGGTCCTCCAGGTCCTCTGTCTATGCACATGCAGCGCCCCTCGACGGGGATCACACCACAGCCCTCAGTGGGACTCTGTGGCGAAACACACTTAGATGGTTGCTCGCAAGAGCTAGGATCAGAGTGAAGCCCCCCTTGACTTGAAGAAACTGAAAGGTGCACAAACCGAAAGGCGAAGAAGTCCGTATAGTTGAAGGTGTTGAACAATTTGTTTGATTGCATTAGCCGCTTACTGCAAAACACAGGATTGGACAGCTTGTTCAACAGTTGAAAAGAAAAAGGCAGGTACACATTCAGGCGTCCCTGAATGCTTCCACCAGTCTTCCGTAGCTTCGTTGGGCAACGTAGGAAGACCGGTCGTTGCCCCCCTGCTTCTTTTTCCGCATCCCTGCCTCTTCGTTCTCAATTAGTGGCGATGCCGTTGGTTCTAGCGGCCTCTTGTTCCTAGTAGCAAGGCCAGGAGCTACTAGTAGCATCCAGCCTTCTAGTAAAAACCTGCGGCAGGCATACTTACCAGGCACGAACCTTGGAACAGGTGTTGACACACAATTTCCATAGTAACTCCATAAGTATCCATGAGTATTGAAGAATCTCAAATATCATCAAATATCATCGAAATTGAACTTGTACCAACTACCAAAATGTATGGAGCTGCATACCCGTTCTCAACTAACCCAGCCAAAGTTGCATTCCTTCCCCACACCCAATGGGCCCACCTCAGGGGGTACGTTGCTCAGGACAAGACCGTCCGATCCACGTCCCTGGCATCTCCCAGTGGTTGGGTGCCGCTTGCAGGTGGCACAGGTGTCTGATGGTGATCACCACAGGTGACACAAGAAGTTGAAAAGCCTTCATGAGGAGCTCACGGAAACTACGAGGTGAAGAAGTGCCAGAAGTGTTGGGAAAATATGTTTTTGTTATCAACTTCCTCCAACTCCGAGACTTCCCCGCCCTTGGTCCAACAGCCCCTCCAAGCCCGAGCGAACTCAAACGCTTGCGCTCGGGACTCCGAAGCTGGAGCTGTTGGAATTGCAAGATGAATGTGCGGATTCTCTTCATTATGACTCTACTGAAACTACTACTATCTACCTACTACTTCAAGCCTTTGGACCCATATATTTTTTGGAATGGAGTCTCCATGACTCTCCCAAAAGTGTTTCAAAACACCTGTAGCCTCCACACCCCCTTGGACCTCATCTTCGAACTTCCCCTTGCCCTGGCATGTTGTTAACACATCCTCGCACTGAAGTCAAACAGAATTTCGCTTCTCCAATGGAGCTCCTGAGATCCACCATTTCTACTGAAACTTCGAGGCCGAACCACTCCGGCCAGCAGATTTGCTCCCTGCTGCGGTGTCAAAACAAAGTACCTCTGCCAAGCATCAAAAGGGCATGGGCCTTGTAGGCATTGACCCACATCCCGAGCCAGACAAACTCGTTTTCACCGAAATCGATCTGCTAGTGCCGCTACTGCCACTGGTTCATTGCCATGCAGAACGGGCCCAACACAACACGGGTTGGGCCTTGTATTCCACCTTAAAAACCCTTCACAAACACTGGTTGAGCTTCAATAATCGTGGGGAGCTTTTGGCGGGATCTCCGTCCGGAAGAGCATATTTGACAAGCAAGCAATTCAGAATTGACCTCTCAAGTTGCGGAATTCTTGACAATTGTGAAGGTGAACAAGACCTTTTAGCAACCAAAAAAAAGGGTCCACAACGCGATTCTTCTAGAAAGCTCCCTCTGCTCATGTCCACACACGGCAACTCAGAACTCCTACGATAGATCCGTCACTTGCATAACCGCCGTAGATCACGGGAGCCACAACCGCTTCATCACTGAAGTTAAAAATAAAGTGATTCTGGAGCTTCTCCTCGGAGCGATCGGACGCTACGAACGGGGCGAAGAAGCTCGTGACTGAAAGCGCATGGCGCCGAAGATGCTCAAAGGACAGTTGGCTCGTTGGCTCGTCAGTGGTCAGCAGTTTGCTATTCATTACCGCTTGGTAAACCCAATCATGCGGAGTTGCATTCTCTGGTCGCACATTCTGACAGGAATTCTGGCAACTCTCAAGCCAAATCATCCAACTTAAATCTCTTGCAGTTTGAAGTAATTGTACACACAAGGGTGATAAACATGCTTCTTCTCGTGCACAACTGCACAACCCTCACTCTCTGTCCCAAGTCTTCCAACCCCAAATGCCCTTGCATTGTTTCAACCGAAGGAACGTCCATAATCTTGGTGGCTTTCAGGATTTGCTCCTCAGAAGCCTCATGATCCTCGGTGAACTTCACTCATTCATCTATTGATCGATCAATCGATCCATCCATCCACCCATGTACCTTCCCTTCTACCAGAAGGTTTCTGAGGTTTCTGCCATTACTCATTGACGCATTACTCACTTCTCTTTTGTGTTGGTGTCGATGTCACTCTTTCAACTCCTAAGAAGCAACATTGGGCGAGGCTCCCCAGCATCTGCATTTTTGTTGAAACCGAGCCCCAGGTAGTTCTTCCACTCCACCTTTTCCAGCGTGGCGACGGACCAAAGGCCGGACATCTCCTGAGATTGGGCGTTCGTCAGCTGTTGGGGTCACCTATTCTTCTGTAGGAGACCTGCAGGGCATTGAAAAGCCGTTTGAGCCGAATGGGCGTCAGACATCCGCGAATGAAATCCTGCGTTTGTGGTGGTGACAACTTTTGTGTATTTGTGCGCAAGGGGCGGGACACAAATGTTTAATGTTTACCTGGTTCTCCCTCGATTTCCGGGTGGTATCATTGGCAAAATCGTCAGAGACTTGCAAAGACTGGTTTGGTCTGGCCTAGGATTCTGAGGAAAATGCGTCCATCTCATAGACTCATAACATTAGAAGAGAAGGATGGAAGGGGAACAATAATGTTCCCAATTCTCTTGTCTAGGCTATGAGACGGCGTTGGCCCAGCCTTCTGGTGACCTTAAGAACTAAACAAGGAATAAAGGAAGGACACAAAGCAAGTTTCAAACAACGTTCACCTCTTCTCCAAGGCTCAGGATCATTCTCATCCTGTTCACCCAGATCCTCCTCGCATTCCTTCACGATCAACAAAGCCTCGCAGCATGGACGCTACCGAGGCTCGCAGGATCGATGCCACCGACGGATGCGGAGGGACGCCGGGGCAACGAGAGTTGCCGTCCTTTTTCGAGACTCGCCCAATGCTCTGTACAAAATTGGCAAGCAAAGAGCCAAGGGCTGCTGTGTGGCAAAAGGAACCAAAACCAAATTGCCTTCCAAAGGACAAAAGATTGGACAAGGTTCCATCATCAACGGATGGCTGTACAATTCAATACTACTGTATATTTACAGTATTAAGACTCCCTGTCAGAGTCAGACTCCAAATCAGCATTCCGCTGGGTTCGTTGCTGGGCTCTACACGGCTCAACAGTCTTTGCAGACAACTCTCTCACGAGAGTTCAGATGGAAAACAACGTGCAAGAAGTCCCACTTCAGCAGGAGCAGCATTGTGATGCGGTTCAAATTCAATCTAGCATCCGCCTTGCCCTGTGCAACCTTCCTTGAGCACGTTGGGTGCCCTCTTCTTGTTCGTATGAAGACCAATTTTGGCCGGAAGGCAAGTGGGGTTTCCAGCGGTGCTACTAGATCACTAGGCATGGAAAGGGGTTTCACTGTTTGAACAGTTGAGATCGTCTGCCTCAAACTGTCAGGGAAGGAAGCTCATGCAGACTCATGCTGAGACCGCAATGAGCACGACGCCTGGGGAGTGGATCACTGACAGCTTCGAGTGATTGAGGAAAGTGGCTCCGTCTTCTAAGCTTCGTCTACTTTATGCCAAGGCGCGTCTACTCAGTTTTGAAGTTGGGATGAGTTTGGAACATGTTTTGTCCCTGTTCAAAACACCAGAAAAGAATCACATGAGCACAAGCTGGCTGGAAGTAGAAATAGCTGTGCGAGACCTCACCTGGAATCCGCAGAAGTAGACCCAATCCCGCGAAGATGCGAGCCCAATAACTTTCCACCTCTTTGAAGCAACAAATGCCAATGACCAACCTCGGTCCATTCCGCGTTGCTCTTTGAGCGTTCGTGGCGGAAGTTGGTGAGTGCTGAAACTGGTGCACTTGTCCACCAAGCTGAAAAAAAGGGTTGTCAAGCATTCTGGCCAAGCTACCCGATGACTCCAGGCAAGCTTGCAACCACTGGGAAGGCAACCGAAAAGCCCAAGTCCAAGTTGGCCTGAAACCAGGCGACCTGAAAGCAGGGCGTCACAACCAAGGCGTAGCGCCACAACCAAGCCGACTCACCTCTGTCAAAAGATTTGTCCTTCCTACTCCTTGTGGGTTGCACTGGGTTGGGTATCTTGGGAGCTAGGTAAATTGCGCCCACCCTCGGCTGTCGAATCAATCGAGAAGGGCCTGAGCGATGCCCCAGATCACCCCAGACCAAATTGCGGGCACAACGATGTTGCAAGGCGTGTAGGCGTTCTTCCTCATGGTCCCAACCTCATGTGCCAAGGCCCAGACTTTCTCATCGTGCATCTGCGTTCAGCGTCCACGAAAACAGCCGGCAGGACTCGTCTTTACGTCTTCATAGGTCCATTGTAGAATCTTAGGGGTTAGCTGTAGCACGTTTTGGGATACAGTAGGTTCTTTAGGAGGTTGATCTCTAATCTCCGGGTGAGGTCCAGGTGCATAGTTGGGATAGAATTGGCCTTTGTTCTGTTCCTTGTTTGGTCGTTCTTTCTTGTCTTGGTCATCATTTGGCCTTTATTTGGGCCTAGATTTGGTCGTTGTTTGGCCCCTTGATTTGGTCGCTATTTGGCCTTTATTTGGGCCTAGATGTTATCTTATTTTGGCCGAGATTTCATCGTTATGTTTTGTCTTCTTGATCGTTATTTGGTCTTTATTTCACAGTTCTCATAAAGTGGCCTTTCCGACCTGGCTACTCTCAATATCGTGTGCCCACTGCCTCAACCACCGCACAACATGCATGAACAGTGTTGGCTGAGGAGCGTAGATGAGCAGAGCGGTCGTGGAGGTGAGGAAAATACCAATGAAGTGACTAAAGACATAGTCCATGATGTAGGCGCTGTGATGACCTCCTAGGCTGCCCTCCTTGAGAGCCACCGGCAGCACAAACGTGGTCCCGAACAGGCTGCCTGCGATGATAGACATCATGGAACCCAGGAAGAGCTGGAAGAAGGTGGTTTCTTCCGGAAGTCCTGTGTACCAAGGCGGTAGAAATCTGCAGAACCACAGGGTGTCTGGGGAGATCTGTTTTTCTCAAAACTCAGATTCCACAACACTCTGCTTGCAAAGAATTCACCACAAAAACATCGGAATTGACATGCGAAAAGTCGCTTTCTTCAGGAACGTGTTGGAGGAACTCGCCGGAACTTGCCGGCATGACAAACAGCACATGTCAGGAAGGATCGGTCCTGTAAGCTTGTTGGAACCCTCTTTATGTGCAGCTTCAAGGTCCCTGGAGGAACTGCGCACCCGCGGATGGACCAGGCCTCCGACCCATGAATGGGCACGTTCCTTGGGAGACCGGAGCTACCTCTCACATCGCTGTGGCACACTGACACTAGATTGTTACTACTAGTAAGGCACTTGTTTCTAGTAGCTTCTTGTTACTACTAGTAAGGCACTTGTTACTAGTAGCGATGCACTTGTTCCTAGTAGAGTAGAGTTGACACACCCAAACTTGCGGGGTGAACATCCCTTCAGTTGACGAAAAGAGTTCGGGCAATCCAGCCAAAAGATGTGTCAGTGTTTAGCCTGAAGCTTGGCAAAAGCTATATATATATATAACCAGAACAGTTTCACCTGAGAGAACATAAAATCATCAGATTAGCTGGATTCAAAAAAACAAAACAACACAAACATATATAACACATCAAAAGCAAACATTCTTTGCCGGCATAGCCGGCTTTCCATTCCATGACTCCATCTGCGGCGGGTGGACATTGGGAACGATGGAAAACATCCGCGTTTCGGCTCCATCCATTGCTTCTTCGGGGAGCCCTGCGGACTCGGCCCTTGGCACAGCAGGTCGATTGAAACCGCGCCAAGGATGGGAGGAAGGGGTGGCGGACTGAGCTGAGATAAAATCTAGGCCCTCACCGGACAGGTGGAGAAAAATCAAATGGTTTGGACGGCAGAGTGATCAGGTTCCAGACATCAGCGTCACACTTTACCCTTGTGTCACATTGATCTGTCAGCGCGGCGCGAAAAAAGCGCCGTGCCACGCGGAAGAGACAGCTTCAGGGCCGAAAGGAATTACACAGATCCAGTGTGTGCATGCGTGGGTAAGCTTTGGATTCAGAAGTTCAGCTTTAACATGTAATAGCAGCGCGGCAAGGCCTCCAGCAATGAATGGAGGGGAAGTGGATGGAGACGTGCATTGGTGTACCTGCTATGCTTGTGAGTGTTGTAACCACCTTCTACTCGTAGTGGTCGCCACGCTCTTGCAGGATGATTCAATTCAGGTCTGCAGTCATGCATCCGCTGTTATGAAATCGTCTTGAAGAGACTCTTTGAGCCCCTGGGACTGTGAGAGTGTGGACCCTGCTGCACTGTACTCCAGGGCTTGGCGTGTGTGTGTGTGTGTGTGTGTTTGTGGGCTTGGGTTCAGGAGCTGTCTTTTGACTTTTTAGCAGGGGCGTACGTGCGCAAGGAAGCTACTGAAGGACGAGGGAGGGGACTTGAACTTCCACTTGGTCCCGTGGTAGCTAGAACAAATGGCCAGCCATCGCAGGCATTGAGTTTTGAACCCTTGGAACCCCTTTGAGGCTTCTTGGTCGAACTCCGCCGCATTTACATGTTCTACTGGGCGGTGTTACCTCGTTTACTCGGGCAAATTATTTTCACTCAGGCCTTTCGGGGAGGTGCTCGGTCCGACTCTGCCCCCCCAAAATAAAAAAAATACATATATATATATATATACTGTGTGTGTGTGCGTCAAGGCAACGCTAGCTATGTGCCAATCTTCTTCCACCCCCCCACTGACGTCAATTCACCCAGAAATA